CCTGCATACCTCAGTTCTGGTTCCGAGGACTTGGAGAAAATGGAAATGGTGACTTTGAACTGTCTTGATTGCCTTCATAAAAAAAAAAAAAGTCAGTATTGCTTTTGTTGTCAAGATTTCCACTTTGAAATGTAAAACATTTCCACCCTGTGGGTGACAGCTTAGCTCCCGCATGTGAGCAGCCTGAGGGTAAGAGTGTACAAATTACAGAATGAGAGTGCTTATAGTGGAGTAACTACAGGAGAGGTTGGGAGCCTGCTGAAATCCTACTGGTTTGTGTTCCTTTAAAATTACCTCTGAGTCATCACTTTGTGTCAGGCCGCCTGTCATTCTTTGTTGCTAATTTTTTGTTTCCTTTTTTCCCCCCTCCTGTCTGTAGATTGGTTGTTGGAATTTTAAAACGAACAGGAGGGGAAAAAAAATCCGACAAACTGATGTAGAAGGCTCTAGAGATTGCCTCCTAGAAAGCTTGGCGTAGAGGGGGAGGGGAGCCTTTCTTGGTTACAGAATTTTATGATTCATTCATGATTAATTGGAAAGCTCTTTTTGTTCGCCCCATATGGCTTACCTTTTTTTCTATAATGTCACGGTGCATTTTCCTGCCTTATTATTCTGTGCTGAACAAGCTAATTTTTTTTTAAACGATTGGGCCTCTTGTAGAGCTTTGGGGGCCCTCACAGTGGGCATCAATCATCTTTGAAAACTCTTGAAGATATGAGAGTGTATGAGAAGAGGTAGAAAGTGAGTATAAAATTGTGTGTGCTGTTATCGAAAGTAGATACCTTGATTTCTTCTAACTGGAAAAGTTGAAGATAGCAAAATGGATTCTGTTTTCTGAAGGATTTATGGCCTTATTTTTGTTCCTGGGTTATGGTAGCTTTAGTGTATACTGTGACTGTATCCAGAGGGCGTAACAGTTTGCATGGCCCTGGCTTCTGTTATTCCATTTGTTTGCCATTCCTGTTTCGTCCACATGGTTCTTTGGGATACTGTTAACGGTTGACATATTTCTTCCCCAGGAGATCCTGAGCTCTTCCACAGTGTTCTATCCATCAGATCCCTGCAGAAGAGTGTGTGCTACATAGAGGAGAATGATAATAATACATTGCACAAAATTGCCGTAGAGGCCTAATGTATGTTAAGACAGCAGCCTCAATATCTTGTATGCATTTACTCAGTTTTTCTGGAAGTCTTTGTGAGCTTCAATGGATAACTTAATTAGCCTATAGTGTGGTGCTGTAGCTCAGACTCCTCCCCTCCAGCCCAAATGAATGATAAGGAGGAAGAGGATGGTGGGAAGGACTTGGGAAGAAGCAGGTGTGAGACCGGCTGGGAACACTGCATTCCTTGAGGTCCCAGCTTCTTCCCCCTCTCAGCATCTGAGACTGTAGCACAGAGCCTTGAGTGGGTGGCATACCATGAATGAGTGCTGAAAGAGCTGTCAATCGTTGAACCACCTAGGGAACAGGTCCCTGTGAGTTTAGATTGAGTGTCCATCCATGAAACTTGTGTTGAGGTTAGTGCTAAGATTTAGAAGCTGTGATCCTGGGTGTTTAGGTCATCATTTAATGGGATGAGCATTTGTATAAATCAAAGAGGTTGACTCCAAACTTTTTTTTTTTTTCATTGTTTTTGGGAAATGAAGACCTCTGGTTCTTCATTAAAATCAGTAAGGAATTTTGGCCACATATTAGAGTTGTTTTAATTTCTGATGTGAGCAGCGATGCTTATTACATCTCGGGATGGTGGTGCTACGGTGGAAGGGGGCTGTGGGAGAGCTGGCAATTTGGCTGGGGACAGGTGTGGCGTAGGACAGAGTCTGATCTCCTGCTTTGCTGGGCAGCTTACTGGCCTCTGAGCCTCATTTGTGATGAAATCGGAGGTCCTGAGCTCCAGGACCAAGTTTCTATTTACCTCTTACTATAAAAAGATTTCTTTGAGATTTTCAAGTTCTTCATCAGTGTATCATTTGGTATGGAAATGTTTGACTTTTTTTTTTTTCCTGAAAGACTTGGTAATTACTTGTGTAGTCAGACTTGTGAATAGGCACCTTCACCACCACCCTACCGCCCAGCTTGGTTAAGGTATAATGGACAAATCAAAATGATGTATTTATTAATGTGTTCTGGTGTATGCATGCATTGTAAAAGGATCAAGCTTATTAACATAGACATCACCTTGCATGCTTGTTTCTTGGTAGGGAGAACATTTAAGACCGAGTTACACATGAAGAATCTTCAAAAAGTTCATGGAAAACTGACTTTTTAAAAAATAAAAATTTGAGAGGCAGAGAGAGGACAGAGAGCGACTCCCAGCTGCTGCTCACTCCCCCGAGGCGTACAACAGAGGGGGCTGAAGCAGGGGAACGCAGTCCGGGCCTTCTGTGTGGGTGGCAGGAGCCCAACCATTTGAGCCCTCAGGGCTGCCTCTGCATTAGCAGGAAGCTGGAGTTAGGAGCCAGAGGTGGGAGTCAAATCCAGTACAGGCGTCCGAACTGCTGGCTTAACCCTGGGCCCAACACCCACCCCACATCACCTGAGAGCAAAAAAATTCCATTTCCCCACAAGCTTTCTGAAGCCCGCTTGTTTCTTGACAGTAATTCTCACAAGGACACTTAGTGTCACGGGTTCCCCTGTCGGATTATGCTGACTTATACATCCGGGAAAAAATGTCCTTTACTTCCGTGTTCTGCTTTGGCTCATCTTCTAGAGTTCTGTGTTCCCATCCACCATCCCTAATCGGTGCAGAGTTCCGTCTCTCCTCCCGGTGCCTGCAAAGGGTTCAGCTCCAGACGACAAGGTCATTCTGTCTCTTTTGATACTGGCATGTGCCGTTGTGTCGGCTCGCCCACTCGAGTCCTCTGGCTCCTGGGAGGTTTGTGAAATGCTTGGGTTCTTTGAACAGTCGCTGTGAGCCTGGAGCCCAAGGCCAGAGGAAGCTTCATCACAGAAGGTCCGTTTAGCCAACAGGTCAGGTGAGCTGCAAACGCGAGCCCCCTTTTCAGTACAGAGTAACTTCGAGGACTGCGTATTATGATCTTGACTGAGCCGCGACTGCCCTTTGGAAACTGCTCAGGGTGGCTGTCTGTTGAGCTGTCTTGAAGATCAGTGAATCTACCTGGCCACTGGATGCTACCATCCCAGGTGAGATTTCAAGGATGGCCTTGGGTGCCAGCGCCTGGGTGTTGATTATAGAACTGTGTCTTTCTCCCTTAGACTATCTCTGCAGATCCTTGGATTGGTGGCCGAATCTGCAGGCTCCAGACAGAAAAGTCTCGGGTTAGGAATTCGCCTCCGTGGACCGCGTGTCACGAGTCTGTCACTCCTGTGTTCTAAACCAGCCGTGGAGACCCTTTTGTTCTGCCAAGGGCCACCTGGATATCTATAGCATCACTCGTGGGCCATATGACATCAAGTTAGAAATTCTCCTGTTACAGACTTATTGAATTCCGAGTCTGCCTGTGGCTGCCTTGGCAGGGCCAGACCCAATGATTTTGTGAGACTTCTACAGCCCCATGGGCTGGACGTTCCCCACCCCTGGCCTAGAACTCTGATTTGTAAAACTCCTCCTTTTAGTTGAAATATCAGTATAATGGCCACTCTCCCAAACAGCCAGGACCCTCCTGTGCTATTGTGGCTGCCCAGCTCTTGATGGGGGACTAAAGCCCATTTACAAAATTAAATCAGAATCTATCAGGGGTTCCTGTGTGTGTGTGTGTGTGTGTGTGTGTGTGTTAAACAGAGGCTATCGGCTTTAGCCAAAGCCCTCTGTGGGAGTTTCATGAGTTCCTTTGAAAGCCATTTGCTTGGAACTTGGGTGTTTCGTCCCATAGAGCCATCAGTTTTAAATGGCGATTGAGTTTCCTGATCAGCCTCTAACAGCCTAGTGCTGGAAGTGGGACAATAGTGCTAGCCTTGATTATGATGTAGAGTCTTGGATCTACATCAGATGCAAGACTTTTCCATTTTAAATTTTATTTGGAAAAACAGGTGAGGGTGGGGCGAGCGAGATACTAATTGAGAGAGACATGCAGAGAGATGTCTTTCATCTACTGGTTTAGTACCCAACAGCCAGGAGCCAGTCTGGCTGCAGCCTGGCCCAGTCCCAGCCATTGTGGCCGTTTGAGGAGTGAACCTCAAAGATAAAGAAAGATAATCTCTTTCTCCCTCTGTAACTCTGCCTTCCAAATAAATGAATGAATGAATCTTAAAGAAAAAGCTAGGAGCCAGGAACTTGGTCTGGGTCTCCCACATGGTGCAAAGACCCAGCTACTTCCATCATCGCCTGCTGACTCTCCAGGTGCACATTAGTAGGAAACAGGATCAGATGCGGAGTGGGGGCTTGAACCCAGGCACTCTGATATGGGATGCACGTGTCCCATGTGGAGTCTAAGCACTGTGCCATATGTCCATCCCTTAAAGGCTATTTTATACCATCTTCCTCAGAGAGGGCAAATGGATACCAGGAGCTTCATCTGGGTCTCCCATGTGGGTTCAGGGACCCAAGCATGTGAGCCATCCTCTGACGCTTTCCCAGGTGCATCAGCAGGGAGCTGGATGGGAAGTGGAGCAGCTAAGACTGGTTCTGGTGCCCTTATGGGATGCTAGCACTGCAGGCGGCAGCTAATTCCACTGTGTCCCAACACTGGCCCCTCTGGATTTCCTTTCTAACAAGATCCTCATTTGGGGTGCAGGAGGCAAGTCTGTGTTGCTATCCAGGAGTGGGGAACATCCGGCCTGTGGACTATCTAGGGCCAGTGAAATCATTTGGTCTGGCCCTGCCAAGGCAGCCACGGGTGGGACTTGAAATTCAGTAAATCTATAGCAGGCTAGTTTTTAAGCTCATAATGTTGTATGGCCTGTGAATGATGTTATAAGCATCCAAATGGCCCTTGGCAGGAGGAAGGGTCCCTACCCCCTGCCTTATAGCACTAGGGACAATGGTCTACCTCCTCCTCACCACCAAACATCACACTGGCCCAGGCCTCTCCTTTGAAATGCGGATCATGGCATCCGATGGCACGTGTCCCTGTTCCAGCTTGGCTGCTTCCAGGGGCTGCTTTGGGAACCTCCAGGCTGCTGCGTTTGAGCAAGCGGAGGATGTTTTGATCCCTTCTGCTTCCTGTGCTGTCTGCCTCTCTCTGCTCCTCTTGTGAGAGGGTTAAGGCGGAGCCGTGGAATTAATGCAATTTGTTCTTGTAAAGAGATGGCAAAGGCCCCATCAAAATCGCTTCTGGCCAGGTCCTAGCGTTGGGGAGCACTCCTCCCAGCCTTTTCCAGCGTCCCTGTGGAGATCTTCGTGGTAATTAAAGGGAAGGAGAGCGACAGATCTTCTTCAGTGATAAATACAGGTTTATCAAGCGCTCTCCTGATGGCAGCTGTGAGCCCTGCTGAGACGCATCAGGGGTGCTCACTTTGTACTGGGGGAAAAACCTGTAATGACGAGGAGACTTGTTTTGAATTAAGACGCCGTTACCTGCGGTTTTTAGAAATTTATTTTGACACTTAAGGACATCTACAGAAGTAAATGTAATGACTACTCCTTTCTGGGCTTGGATGAGAAGTGGCAGGTTATATGATACAATTCCTACTAAAATGTAGCTTTTAACCAACTTGATTCATGAGTGTTCACAACTTTGTTTCTACACTTGTAAAAGGCATTACTGGTGTTTCAAGCCTTACCCTTCGGTCTTGGGCAGTCAGAATAATTTGAACCTGGAGGGGCAGCACAGGTTTGATGTGGTTAACTGAAATAGCTGCTGGCCTAGGGCATCCTTGATGAGAGCGCGATTGTGCAGCTCGTGTTAGCCCACACTCTGAGCTGGGCCGTCTCTGGTAGGTGGAGTTTGGGCGGTGAGGGGCTGAGTCAAGTCAGCCTCCTGAGGTCTAGGTTTCTTTTCTACACTGCTTCCTTTCCTTCTACTGCCTGCTGGCTGCATGTGTGAAGGGCAGAGAGAGAAGTAGTCTTGGGGTGTGTCGCTCCCCGTCTTTGTGGAGGAACGACACAGGACCCTGCGCTGTTCTTTTGTCTGCTCGGCCCTCCCCGGGTTTGCTGCTGGTTCTTCCCGGGTTGGCTACCGTCCCTTCCACCTCCGTGGGAGGGCGGTTCCCTCTGCCACTTTCCCCACTTCCACGGGGGAGCGGCACACCGCCGGCCGGCCGGCTCTCTCGGGGGCTGCACAGGTGTTCCTCTTAGATGTTCCTGGTGCATGTTGTCTCTCTCCTCCTTTATAGTCCTCTTCCACCAATCCCAACTCTGCTACCCACACGCCGAGTATGCTGCTCTCCTCCAATCAGGAGCAGGTCCTGCTGTTTATTGGTTGAACTGGAGGCAGCTGTGTAGAAGCTGTTTCCTCCTCTCCCAGCGCCCTATTGTGGGAGAGCAGATGCATAGAATAAGTCTTAATTCCAGTAACTTAGTCTAGTCCGAGTTGCTCCCCACAGATCCCCCTTTCTTTTTATTTTTGGCGTTGATACGCGCCTGTCTTCGGTGCCCCATGGCACACACTCTGCTCTGCTTGCTGGAGTTGCCCACAGGTGCTTACAAGCCCTATCAATCAGGCAAACCGAATCCGGGTCCTCTCTTCGCCATGTTGTGAGGAGGTTTTTAGGCGCTGATGCGTGCCTGTGTTCGGTGCCCTGCAGCGCATGCTCTGCTCTGCTAGAACTGCCTGCAGGTGCTTACAAGCCCTATCAGGCAAACCGAATCCAAGCCTTCTCATTGCCGTATTGTGGGGAGACTTATTGGTGTTGATAACGTGCCTGTCTTCGGTGACCTGCAGCGGGTAAGCTACTAGCCGCCAGCAGGTGCTTATCGTCTTACTAATCAGGCAGACCGAATCCAAGCTCTCTCATTGCCGTGTTGTGGGGAGGCCTTATTTTTCTCTATTTCTCTATCTCCGGGCATTCCTATTTCTCCTATTTTACTTCTATCTGCCAGCATTCCTATTTCTCTCATTTTACTTCTAAACTTCCCGCAGCTTCCCAGCGCCCGCCCCGAGGCTGCTTTTCGGCGCCTCGCCCCGCGGCGGCTTCCCGGCTCTGTGCGGCTCAGCTTGGCGCGCTTCGCGGTCTCCACGCCCTTCGCGCCCGCACCACGGCCTTTGCGCCAGCCCCGCGTTCCCTATCTATTAGCGCCCCGTGCGCTCTCCCCCCGCTGGTGCCCCGCGTGCTCTCTCTGCACGCGGCGGCTTCCACGACTCACACAGCCCAGCTCACGTTTCCGCCACCAGCATTCAGTCCAAGTTCCCCAGGCTAACCTGGCGAATTCAACCTAGCTCACGTCTGCGCCTTTCAGCTTGGCTTCCCGTCTTTTGCTCCCTGGGCTAATCTGACGGATTCCAACCTGGCGGCCCACGTCTCTGCCTCTGGTTCCAGATTTTCGCCTTTTGCTCCCCGGGCTGACTTGAAGAATCCCAAGCTGGCTTACGTCTCCGCCTTGGCCTGCCCCCGCGGCTTCATCCTCCCTAACATTTTTCTCTACCTGGTATGTTTCCTAACTTTTCTTCCAACAATATTCCCCTCTCATTTCTCCTGGCTTCTCCCCACAGTCCGTATCCTAGTCTGTTTGTTCTAGCTTTCACTTTCGCTTTTAATCTCCTAGCTTCCCCGCCATAGTCCACATCCGAGTCTAAGTTTCTTCTTGCTTTCACTTTAAATCCTAACTTCTTTCCCACAGTCCATATCCAAGTCTATGCCTAGGCTTTCCATAGCTTCTTCCGGCACCTTTTCCGTCCGGCTTTTCCCTAGGCTCTTTGCTAGTCTCTCTCTCCGGTATTTTCCCACTTCTTCCCGTTTCTTCCCTCCTAAGTTTCCTATCCGAGTCACGGCACCATTATGTCACTCCCCCTCTTCGTGGAGGAACGACACAGGATCCTGCGCTGTTCTTTTGTCTGCTCGGCCCTCCCCGGGTTTGCTGCTGGTTCTTCCCGGGTTGGCTACCGTCCCTCCCACCTCAGTGGAAGGGCGGTTCCCCCTGCCACTTTCCCCACTTCCACGGGGGAGTGGCACACCGCCGGCTGTCTCTCTCGGGGGCTGCACAGGTGTTCCTCTTAGATGTTCCTGGTGCATGTTGTCTCTCTCCTCCTTTATAGTCCTCTTCCACCAATCCCAACTCTGCTACCCACACGCCGAGTATGCTGCTCTCCTCCAATCAGGAGCAGGTCCTGCTGTTTATTGGTTGAACTGGAGGCAGCTGTGTAGAAGCTGTTTCCTCCTCTCCCAGCGCCATATTGTGGGAGAGCAGATGCATAGAATAAGTCTTAATTCCAGTAACTTAGTCTAGTCTGAGTTGCTCCCAGTTGCTCCCCACAGGGTGCTAGATGATGGGATGAGAGAGGAAGGGTGTTACCCTCACCTTCCCCTTCACGGAGCAGGTGCCTGGTAAGAGCCCTTTTTGGAGGTGAGGTGTGGAGCTGCCTCCCACCCCCACCCAGCTGCTGCTAACCCTTCTTCCTGTGGCTGGAGGGCTGGTGTGAAAGCTGCTTTTGTTTTTCTTGGTCCAGATGAGAGGTATTCATTGAGCCTTGCTGCTTGGAAAAGGCTGTAGGTGTTAGGTGAGGAGCAGAGGGGGATGCAAAAGGAGTGGAAGACCTGGCGGGCACCGAGAGCCAGCTAGGGTCAGGTTGGGAGACACGGCACACACAGACTTGACCTGACCGTGTGCAGTGCACACTCTGGGCATGGGAACCACACGATGCAGACAGAAGCTGGAGAGAGTGGTCAGCCTGAGGGGGGGTTACCTGGAAGTGGGCCATCCACAGCGCCTTGAAGATTTTAGGTTTTTGGAAAGGAAAGGGGGTTGTGTCAGATTAAGTTATTTGACCTATCCTCACATTTATTTCCCAGAAGTGGTTACAGTCTTAGGAAAGTCTTCTATTTATTTCTTCAGTAGCAATAATATTTACGATGAATAGTAATCGACAGGCTGGTTTTTAAATGTGTTTATTGCTGTGTTTTCTCTAGTACCCGCTTATTTATGGCTTCATAACTTTCTAATCAAGAATATTGGTTTTTTTTTCTTCTGAGATTTATATTTCTCTGGGTAATAAAGCGGTGTTTACAACTAATATTTTTGAGTCATTTTCTTAGGGGACTTTTTGATCTTGTTCATGGAGGGGTTACAGTTCAGGGAGAAAGCATGTTTGGTGAGAGTTTACCTAGGAACTCATTTTCAAAATGATCTTTGGGGTAGCATTTTCTTCCCTTGCTTTGAGATGTCTTCCAGGTGCTTGAGGTTTGCCAGATTCAGAGCGGTGATGTTCTTGGCTCAGTGGAAATTCCAGACACCGCCTCTGTCTTTTCATTCCTCCTCCTCCTCCTCCCTCCTCTCACAGCATCTTGGAGAAACATCTTCAAGGAGACTTGCACCCTTTTGGTCTTTGGCAGGCGTCACAGCCCCATCACAGTGGAGGCCCCCGCGTCCGTGAGGTCCTGGTGTCCCTGTGGCCATCCCAGCCCTTCGCCCTGGAGCTTGCCTGGACCTCTGAGTGGTGTGGATTTGCTGGAATGTTCTCAGCAGCCACAGAAGGATTGGTCTCGGGTGCAGAGCTGGTGACTTCAGAAGGAAGTTTCTCGGGGCCTCTGTTGGGGCAGCCGGTTCCCAGTGTGTGCAGGTGGGGAGGGAACCGAGATTTCTGGAAAACCTGAATCACTAAAAGCATTCTGAGCTCCGTGTGTCTCCCCTGGTCTTCTGCAAGCATGGGGGCGGTGCCTTCCTTCAGAGAGTGAGTGGATGCCAGGTGTGTGACAAGGTGGCCGCTTCCCAACACCAAACAGAGTCACAAAGCAAGGTCCCCAAGGGGACGGTGAACGGGAAGGGGACGGTGCCATTGGCAGTGCCCACGTCCAGGTGGCGCGGCGGGGCGGCGCTGCTGCTGTGACGAGTACTGAACTCCCAGATGAGTCGCTTTCCACCCTGCTCGCCCTTCCTGGCCTAGGGCTTCGTAGCCCTCACTCTGCCTGTAAGGGAAAACAGCTCAGAAAGCAGTGTGGGGGCCCGAGTGAGGCTCTGGCCAGTTCCACCACTTCTTCAAAGATGCTGTGTCCCAGTTATTTTTATTCTAACCGCAGTGTGTACCCTGGGCTTGGGAAATTTGTAGCTACCACTGTGCTATGAATCTGGACTCTGAATCAAATTAAATATCCACCCTGTCTACACAGGGCTTGCTGACAACAGAGTGGGCGGGCGCATGAGGTGCAGGAATAGACACTGTTCCTGTGAGGCTGGCTGGCAGCGGAAGCCAGGGCGCTCATTGGCCGTTACGGTTTTTTATTTTTAAAATTTTAAAAATTTATGGAAGGTGAACAAATTTCATCTGTGCAGATTTGGGAGCATAGTGATACTTCCCACCCTACCCCCTACCCTCTCTGCCACCCCCCTCCTCCTTCCTTGCTTATCCTTTTAATTCTTACAATGCCATCTTTTCAGTTTG